AAAAGGGCGGAAAAACCACAAACTCATACACATAAAATATACATAAACAGTCCCTATTGTGTGCTTATGGTCACAAACTCAATCTCTAATATCTGAAAAGACCAAATTAACCTCATACTAACGGACGAAAAGTAACGTTGTGAGCAAAAATGATCAGTCGTGCAAATTTAGAAACCACGGAAACAATTTATGTAATTTTGTCTAATTTTTATTTTGAACAGTATAAATAATAAATTTATTTTCATTATTAACATTTCTTGTAGAAAAAACCTTGAAATATAAAACGTAATTCAACAAATACCTCAAAACCAAAACAAAAAATTCTAACAAAATTAAACTAAATCAAACATATAATATGACATCTCCAGGAAAAATCATTTTATGTAACGTTCTCTGTAATTACACACTTCATCAAGTTCCGAATGAGTTTTTAGAACATGGTTTTATAATATAGACCATCAGGGTCATACATGTAAGGTGTAATGCTAATGTGGCAAGCCTTTCTACATTTGAACACTGTTCTCGTGACTTGTTGTTGTGACATGGCGTAGAGTCGACTATGGGCCAATACAAAAGAGAGAGAAAACATGAAACAATATCTTGATCGATAAAGAGTTTCTTAAAATAATTAAGTGTTCAATTTTACTAGACACTAACTAACTATATGCACATTTCCACACTACAACCACCAATTTTTTTCTTTTATATATTATCAATCAATTATCTTTTCTTCAATGTAAATCAAACAATGAAACTCAAACACCCCAACGCTCCAAACACCCCAAAAACTCACCAAAATTCGATTATCCCATTGATTTGTAAGTATTAAACACAAGACATCGACAATACATACACTTCGATTCACCCAAATGTGGGTTCATAAACTTGTTAAAAAGCTCATTAATTCAAAACCAACCCTTGTTCCAACATCCATTTCAACAAAATTACTTGCAACTCCAAACAAACGCAAACCACCAACACTTTAACACTTCTCAATTTCAATTTTCTGAAATTCAACATTCGCACGCCCAACCATCTTAATCACAACATTCCTACAACGAGGAAAAATCGATACCAAATTTGAAACCAAAACATTCAAGATGTAACACCCAGTTTTGAAAGTGTTTCGACGCTTGTGGTTGCGACCCAATTATCAATTGTCATAAGGGTTAGGGCCTTGGGAAAGGAAGGATCTGGCCCATTTCGGATATGGGTGTTAGGGTATACGTGATCCAAGTGTTTGATTGTGTCTTTGGAGGCCAAGGGTGAAGTTGTAATTTGATATATCGGTCTTTTATGAGTTTTGGATTTTATTCGGAAGGTTTTAAGGCTTGGGCGTGTTGTTAGGAGGGTAGTTATTCTCGCCACCTTTTCGTGGATATAAGTTTCGTTGGAAACGAACCTCGGATGTGGAAGATATGACACTTTGATGTTATTGACAATTTTGGTCCCTAATGGAGAGTTGTGGCAAGGCAGTCCCACGCATGCAAGGAATGCATGCACGTGTTTGGTTGGGTACGCCCAATGTAAGCTGAGTTACGCCCAATGAAGAAATCTGCATGGTCGCGGGTGGTTTGAGAGTACGTTTGGCGTGCTAAGAGGTACGCGTGGTGTACTCCATTCAGACCAAAACCCTAATTTTAGTGTTTGGCACTATATAAGGAACTTTATGTCTCAATGGATAGCCTCCCTTTCACCCTAAAATAGCTACCACAAAACCATAGTCCCTTAATGGTGTGTTTTTAGATTAGAAGATCATTTTGGAGTGCATTTTGGTGTTTTGAAGGAAGGAGACCATTTTTGAAGAATCATCAAAGGAGCAAAGGCTTATAGATCCAAAACCTTATCAACATTTGGCATTCATATAAGGTATAAAGCTTGGAACTTGGTGTTTATTTTCTTAGATCTCTTGAAGTATGGGTTTTTGGACCTTTTTGGTCCTAATGATGAAGCTTTATGGTTCAAATTTGATTCCTAGGCTTAGGGTTGCCACCCTTGGTGCTATTTGAGTCCATAAGATAGAAATTTGTCATCTTGAAGGTATTAATGGGTTCATGCAAGAGTTAAGACCATTTTCATGGAAGTAGAATGCCATTTTTGGAGTTTGGGCTTATGTGGGGCATGCAAAGTCACTAAGTTAGTGACTTTATGGGTTTGGATGTTAAGTAGAGCTCAGATCTATGATTTGGTCCCTTGGTTTGAAGTATTAAGTGCTTAATAGCAAACGAGCTTAGGAGTACGTTGGGCGTACAAGCTGGTACGCGCTGTGTACATGTCTCAAACCTAGTACGCGCTGCCTACAACCGAGTACACCCCACATACTCAGTTAGAGTGGGTTTCGCACAAGTGGGCCTCAGTTTGGGCCATTCATCGGACTTCTTAGCTTTGGGCCTTTATGGGCCATTTGGAATTGAACCTTTAGACTAGAGAAGCATTATTGGGCCTTATTTTGATGCCCATGTGAATGGATTGGGCCCAATTATAAATTAGGCCATATATTGGGTCTTGTAGTAGTGTTTATCTTTTTGGGCCTAGAGTTGAGTAGAGTTCATTTTGGGATTAGAGTATGTGAGCGATAGAATGGTCTTTTACCCTAGTGAGGACTTATGGTTAAGTTATGAGAATCCCGAACTTAACTAGTTTATATGATGATTAGTAGCTCGGGGAGTCGAGAGATCAGCACTTCGAGGATCTACCAGCTAGCAGCCAGAGGATCATTCGTGAGATCCAGCTTCACGATCTGATGTCGGTCGGTGCCCAAGGAATGTTGGTATGCTTGATGTCTTTGTAATTCTTGCATGTGTCTGTATTTGTCTGTTTTCGGATTACGGTCCGATGTCGAGCGATGCCTGAGGAATGTCTTTATGCTTTCCGTATTACAATCTGATGCCGGGAGAGGCCCGAGGAATGTTTATATGTATTTTTCCGGACTACGGTTCGATGTCGGGAGGTACCCGATGATTGTGTGCATGTTTAGTTATACTTGTTGTATACGTGATACTTGTATGTACCTGGTAGGAAGGTGAGTGTGGGCGGGGTCTTGTATCTCATCACTAGCTGGGTGTGGACGGGGTTCCATATCTCATCATTAGCAAAGTATGGGCGGAGCCCATGATAGGCGAGGCCTTAGGAATGGAACATGTAGTATTGTGTATGATTCTTTATGTGCTATCATGATTATATGATATTCTTTGTATGTGTATAGCAGGCGAGGCTCAGTGACAGGCGAGGCCTGGGAGAAACCGATCTATATACTGAGCGGGGCTCGATGTCAGGCGGGGCCTGATGTCGGACACTGTCCAATGTCGGGCGGTGCCCGATGAAGGGGCGGGGGCCCGATATATGTGGTTATGTGTATGGTATGTGGTAGTATGGGGAACTTACTAAGCTTTGTGCTTACGGTTGTCAGTTTTGGTTTCAGGTACTTCCAGTTACAAAGAGAAGAGCTCGAGATGACTACATTGCACACACCATGATCTTTAGCCTGTGATGTTTACTCTGTTGTGCTTAGAAACTCTGATAATAATGTTTTGAAATACCTTGACTCATGTTTTGATGACTATGGTTTTATTTAATGGTTTAAAATGAAATTTTTGGTCATGCATTTTTGGGATGTTTCACAAGAAGAAATAAAATGAAGACAAAGAAAAGTGCTTAGAGTTGGAGCGAGGATGAGGAAGCATCATTATCACGAGCGTGGATATTTGTATCCGAAGAGCAACACACTGGCAACCACCAATCCATAACATCCTTTTGGAACCGCGTTTTAGCATTATTCGACGACGAAATCAGAGTGGGTTGATATCAGACCTACAACAATGTAAATGCAGTGGCAGACATGGGATGTAGGCGTGGTGTGGTTGCACAAGGCCTTTATCATAAGGGGCCTTCGATCAAAGATTAGGTTAAATATTGTATTACTTAAAACTATAAGACAAAGATAGTAACACATTAACTAAAGTACACTTGCATGCTACTAATCTCATTCATGTTTTACTAACAATAATGATTATCCTTGTTAAATATATTATTACTATTAATTAGAATTTATATACCAATATAAATACATTTACATATCCACGACAAAAAAAAAAATTGAACCACCACACAAAATTCAAACTTGTATTTGGGATTTTGGGAAAAATTTAATAACAACAAGAAAAAATAATATTAGCACCAAAAATTTAAATTTCAAGGTAATCACGATTTTAATTTTACGGTTGTAGCTAGAGTAATGACAAAATCATAATCGCACAGTCTACCACCCTCTTACTACACGTTCAAATGTCCTCGTACTACACGTTCAAATGTTTAAGGTCAATTGAAATTTACAATCAAAGTAATTTGAATGGTGAATGTGTGCAATTTAACAAATAATACAAATGAGTAAGTATGATATTTAAATTTGATCTGTGTGATGTGTAGATTTATGACTTTATGTTGTAGTTAATATAATTGTTTGTCTACATGCATTATTTATGTTAAATTTATAACTAATATATATTGTTAAAATAAGAACATTGACTATTTTATAAAAACATGCTGCTACTTAGAAATTTTGAATTAGGTTGTTCTAAACTTAAAACAAAACAGAAATAACAGCTTATTCTTTAATTCTTAGTTAAAGGTATTTTACACCACTTAAATCTCTATTGTGCTATGAAATATTGTATTTGAAGAATTCTATCGCAAAAAACTTAAAAAAATGATTTTCGATTAAAAACTTATGACTTTCTCATTTCACAGATAATTTCGCTTGTTAGGCCTATACAATTCTTTCAAAAAAAAAATTCATTTTATTATATTCATAGGTTAAAATTACAATAATTGTTTTTTCCCTATAGAATGGTGTTTGAAGAATTTCTACCATAACAAAACTTCAGTTTTCGTTTTTACATATTGATGACGTGCCTTAGCCAGCACGGAAGAGGCGGGCTTGGCCAAGGAGCTTGGCGCACTGACTGAGCTAAGCCAAGCGGGCTCATCGCCCGCCAGTGCCTCTAAGAGCAGGGCGCCCCGGTGAAAGGGTCGCGCCCACCACCGCCACCCTTACCATCACCAACAGAATCATTATCAGCACTAGCTCTCTCGCTACCGCAACCCTCAAGAAACTCTTCCACATCACCACCACTCTCAGCAACAACCTTGTCAACACAAACATGCTCACCAATAACAACATGGTCATCTTCACTACTCTTAGTGTCTAAACCAACATTAGCTACCACACCACTATAAGCACCTTCAACAATAATACCATTACCACCACCAACGACATTATCACCATGACCAACCTCATCATCATCATCTCCTATAACTTAAGGAGTACAGTCGGAACCTGAAAAAACACAAAGATCACAAATTTCTTGCATACCTAAATCTCCTAACCCCAACAACGAAGCATGATCCATGCTAGCAAACGCCAAAAGAGCCTCATTCACACTCACAAACAGGGCCGGAATAAGGGGCATTAATAAGACCTTGTTGACCAGCACTCACCAGAGCACTGTGAACAGACTCCACTCCAGCAACAAAAGCAGAGTGACGAATAAGACTCCCAACACTTGTAAACTCTGGATGTTCAATCAGCTTATCAACGACTCGCACAAGGCCCACTCGTAGCAACCAATCCAGATCACGTTGCACAACATTGACACTCGATTGAAGATCAGTGACCATCCGGTCGCGGTCAACCGCATCACGCTCCAGACTCTCGACTTGGATCATCAAACCCTCGTTAACCTGAGAAAGGGAATCAACCTTTGCTTCCAAATCAGACCGGACCTCCTCCATAGCAGCCTTTTCAGAAACAAGAAGTTGATACCTCTGCTTTGCACGTTGGAGATCACCACTGAGCTCTGAAACACGACACTCCAATTCAACCACACGAGTCCCACAACTAGCATGCGCAGTCTCCATCTCACCAAGCATCTGAATGCGCCGTGCACCTGCGGTAAGATAAAACATGGCCTGCGCGGCAGCATAAGTCATATTGTGAGAAAGGGCGAGGCTACCCATAGCTTCCGTATCATCAATGACGGCAGGAGGAAAATCATGCTAGGAAAATTCCAGAGTATTAGCACGAACAGAAAGACAGGACTCGTTGTGAAGATTCCAAGAGGGAATAAAAGGAGAAGGCCTTGAGGAACCCTCATTAAAATCCTTGATTGGAGAAATATGAGCTTGCCCAAGATCACGGGTGCCCTTCGGAGGAGAGGGATTGACAGGAGCAGAAGAAGCAATTTCAATAGGAACAACGAGTTGTTTAGACGCCCAACCGATCCCTTCAGACTGGTGAACGTCATCATCAGGGATCACAACAACGGCCGCCGGCGACGAAGAAATAGAGCTCAAAAGACGCGAAAAGCTATGCCTAGTCTGAACATGCTTGGCAACATGGGGTGCACCGGTGGCTGACTCTCCCATGGCTAATAAGGCTTTCCGTTTAGCTTGCAACCGTCGGGCATCCGAAATGATACCATCCTTACTATCCTTATCATCATCGACAGAAGTAGGATGAGCACCACCCAAAGGCATAACGAATGATATAGGGCGGACTGCCAAAGGATTTGCCTTAGCAGACGATAAATCTCCCCTCGTCGTCAGAGGAATGGGCATATCGGCGGTCAAAGCAAGTTGATATAACCAACGGGGCGGAGGAAGAAGATCGATCAGATCCACTTCTCGACACTCCAACTTACCCCGGTAGCGCTTTCGGAGAACCTCATCCATGGACAAGGGGGACTCGATGCCTGAAAGTTTAAAGCAGAAGAGGAGGAATCAGGATGTGAAGGCCCAAAAAAATCCTAATACCAATAAACAAGCGCAGAGGAGGAAAGGACAGATACTTAGCGTCAACAGTGCAGAAGAAAACCACCATTTTGCCGCGACCCCTCCAAGACGGGCTCATCCCCACATCGGACAGAAGGGCTTCGGAATGATCTTCGGGAGACACCTAGACATTTTTTAGGAAGTCAGCCACACCCTGGTTATGGGGTAAGAGCTTGGGAGTAGTATCAACAAAAGTATTAACACGATAGCGACCACTGCCAGCCAAACCCTGGTTCACCCGTAACCCTGGGGTAAGAGCTTGGGCGTTCGACCATCAGGGACAAGGGTGTGTCCCCTTTGCCGGACAAAAAACGTGTATTTATCACCAATGCAACAAAACCTAAAAAAGTACTTGAACACAAAATAATCAGGAAGGTAGCCATTAGTCCGACAGATCATTTCGAAAGCTACAACATTGTTCACAATATTTGGAGTCAACATCTGAACGCTATAGCCATCCTTTTGAAGAACTTCCTCTTGAAAGTCAGTTAGTGGGAGACGAATAACTTTCTGGTAAATCCCAAGTTTTCTGGGAGGAGGAGACATGATTGAAGAACCCGACGACGGAAACTCCACGCCATCCAAGGAAGAAAGACCATAAGTGCTCTCAAGATGCTGGTACTCGGTAGCAGAGGGCACAATACCTGGAGGACTTGTCATGGGAAAGAAGAAAGGAAAATGGATAGGAAGAAAGGGAAGAGCAAAGGAAAGGAAGCATACAAAAGGAAGCACGGTAAGAATCTTTATAAGAAAACAGAATGAGCGGAATATTTAAAATACCTAACACGATGACGTAACTGTTGGCCATAATGAGCGATCATGTCACCATTAAAGCGGGAGCGGCGGGCAAACACGGAAACGACACGTATAGAACACTTAAGCCCAGAGCGTCGTAGCTAGTAGTACAACGCTACGACTACCGGACTAGGGGACTTGATGATGTGCTTTAGCCAGCACAGAAGAGGCGTGTTCGGCCAAGGAACCTGACGCACTGGCCGAGCTAAGCCAAGCGGGCTCAGCGCCCCTAAGAACACGGTGCCCCGGTGAAAGGTTTGCGCCCTCTAGAGACGTTCCCAGCGCCAAGACAAAAGATACGGTCAAGCAACAAGGCAAATGCTCAGGGCATTACCACCGGAACCAATAACAGTATTCTGACAAACAAAGACACATTATCCTCCAATCAGCTCCTTTGGTCTTGTCCCCCAAGAAGCGATATTGTCTCGTACGAATGAGCAAGGTTGCTAAGTATAAAAGGGCACACTTAGGAGCTCAATAGGTAAGCAGTTCTCTTCTAGATCAACACTAAAATCCTAAAAGAACTTTACCTGACTTGACCATCGGAGCGTTTTTTCGGGGGCCTTCTCCCGAGAAACGGCTAACGGCCCTTCTTTCTTGTGATCTTGCAGAACTCATCTATGAATCACCAGAAGAGCTCAAAAAGGATCGAAGCAAGGTCGCATCACATATCATAGGCCAAACCTGTATTTTTTTTTTTTTTTTTTCTATCATAGTTTCAAAACAACGATGTTTTGATGATTTTGTAGGCATGTCTTACGAAATTCACTGGTAATTAGCAAATCCAAGGTACGAGAGTCACCGTTGTTGAAATGTCGATTACCAAGAGTCGAAGAACCACATCACGAACGAGGGAATGGTCTTGAGGAGGCTAAAGTTATTGAAATTGTCAAAATAACATGAAAAAAAAATAAAAGTATGATTATAACGGTCATTTTACATGCATTTAATGGATAAGAATCGAGGGAGTTAATTTTAAAAAGTAGGCTTGCAATTCTGACCCCCCATAAAGGCGAGTCAAATCGATTTCTAAATACTTAGACACTAACTTCAATATGATGTAAATTATAGGGACCAAAACTATAATTTACTCTAAATTAATTTGATTCGATATAAACAGTTTTATATTAGGTCCCTTAAAATTAAAATTTGTTTTAATAAGTATGATTTTACATGATCGACACGTGTGTTTTGTGTGGTAGCAATTGGGGAAGAAGTGCAGCCGCCGGCTGATAAGACTTGTCAAAGTTGGTTTATTTCTAATTTTAACGTCACGTGACTTTTCCTACACACAGTCTTTAATCAGTCGCTTACGTATTCGCACCCACCACCCTAACCTGCCTGTTATTGTACGGTCTGTTCGAAGTTAGACAAAAAGTAGAATTAGATTATTATTAATCAAAATAATTCGAGTTTTTATTCAAAATAAATATTGTTCAAAATATATAATCGATAACCACAAATGACCATATTTTCTGTTGGAAATTTAGTAAAATTATTTATATTTTTTACTAACTTTAGACATATATAAATATATACATATGTTGTATATATAACAAACTCTAAGTGGATTTGTGTTCTCCTCCATGAGGGCTTCAAAACGATATATTATATGTCTAAAATAGAGTATAAGTGAATGAGATATCGATACTCAAAGATGGGTATTTGAGAATAAGTTTAGCAAAAGAGAGGAATGTGGGAATGAGTCCCACATTGGTAGAGAAACCAAACTCAACAAGGTTTATAAGCTTCATTGCACGGAAGGCTTACAAACTTGTGTCTATGGTTATGCTACAATTCCTACCCGCACGCAGGGGGGGGTGCAAATCTTGGTTCCGTAGACCAAAAACGCCGAACTCGTGCATGGGCGCGACCTGCGGACACGAATGCAGCTCCGAAAACTCGGGCGAGCACTACCCTCCCATTAAACACTCAATCAATTAGTGATTTCTTTCCGTTTCACAATTCGACTATAAAAGACGGCGAATCTGTTTAAGGGAATCGAGTCTCAGCTACATCGTTTAATCTTACTTTACAGGAACCTCTCAAGGACGAAAATTGAAGACTTAATACTAACAGATTTCAGTATGTCTGCAACTCTACTGGAACTCCTGCTGTTGGTACAGAAGATGCTGGAACTAAGAAGCATGTTGTTGCTAAGTTCTTGGAATACAAAATGGTTGACTCGAAATCTGTTATGAGTCAAGTCCAAGACCTTCAGGTCATAATACATGATAACAATGCAGAATGGATGGATCTTAATGAATCATTCCAAGTTGCATCAATGGTTGAAAAGCTTCCTCCTGGTTGGATAGACTTCAAAAATCACCTGATGTCTGTGGAGGAACTGGTGGTGCGTCTTCGCATTGAAGAAGACAATAGAATGGCTTTGAAGAAAGGCAGTGAAGTTGAATCTTCTAAGGTTCATATGGTGGAAGCTGGTCAAACTTCCAAAAGCAAAGGCAAGGGACCTCACAAAGGGAAAGCAAAGGGCAAAAATCTAGGCCCCAAGGCAGGAACTTTCAAAAAGAAGTTCAAGTGCTACAATTGTGGCCAACCGGGTCACAAGGCTTCGGAGTGCCCTCAACCTAAGAGGGAAAACCGTCAAGCAAACATGGTGAATGATAACATGGAGTTGGTGGCCATGATAACTGATATCACGGCTATGGTTTCTGAAGTGAATCTTATGAACACAGTGTGTGACATCCCCAAAATCTCGGCCAGAAAAGACCGATTTTCATTTATGCTTTTAAATATTTTCAGACTAAATCCTTTTGATTTGAAAGAGTTGCGGAATTTGTTCCCAAAAACAAAACATGATAAAACAATGTTTACCGAAGCATTTCATAAAAGAAATGTATTTTCATTATAATCAAAACTCGGGGTGTCATGTTCCGATACAGACCAATAAGCATAAACGAATACATTACAAGTCATATAACAAATATAAACATATGCAGACTTGTAAACAAAACAACTTGATGGTTCATCCATCTTACGCCCTTGCGCCACTTCCTGTAATACAAATAAAACTGAGTGGGTCAGGCTTGGGAGCCTGGTGAGCATATAGGGTTTTCAACCCACAATAAATAATTAAATTAATTATTATCAACCAACAATAACCCAGTTACCCATTCCCGTTATTCTCACTTTACGTCCCTAAAATAACTAACACAAGGGACCTAATCTAAGAATATTTTCATCGGGGTGACAACACATGCTGCGGGGTTTCCTCAGCAATATAAGTCAAATAAGGCAACCATGAGGGGGGTGGAATACAACGAATGAACACCCAAGTTCATTAACACCTACAGGTTATGAGCCTGCTAGCGTTCCACTGGACTATCTAGAAAAGTCTGTGGTCGTCATCTAAATTCCGCTAGATGACTGGATCAAACAACAACGAGGCCTCTCATCTGTTTATTACACACCAACTATCTACCCATGTTCTACCCAACATATTAGTAGATAAAAACATACATTTTTATACATATTTTCAAAACATGTATAGCATGCTTGATCAATACATTTTCCATATAACAGATGAGGCAGACACACATAACACGTATTTCGTATAGAAATAATCAGATCTGCAAGATAGAAGAAAGTGAATATACATTCACACACATAACAACAAAATATACACATAACACGTATCTCGTATAAAATACTTCATAGTTATACGTTATGAGAAAGTAACAATGCATTCACACGTATAAACGACCATAAACTTAATACCCTCGAACCATACTTGTATTATTATTGCGTTTATGAAAGGTAGTATACACTCACCTGATCAGAAGATGATCGGACAGCACTACGGCTTGCAGAAGTCGTAATCCTCAGCAGATCTGGAAGATCTCTACGAAAATCGAACTTCTCGCGGGCAGAGCTTCGGCTCGGAAACCGCACTTCTTGGGATCTTCGGGATCTCGGGACTCGCTTCTGGACTCGGGAATATTACCGGGGCTTCGGGGTATTTCTGGCACGCAAAACGATGCAAAACGGGAGAGAGAAGAGAAGAAATGAACAAAACTTTCGGCTGCCTTCGGATCCTTTTTATAGAGGCTGGAAGCCCGAGTTACGCGGGGCGTAATTCACGTACGTGGGGCGTACGCAACGTCATTGCATGCGTATGTGTTCGAGTGACGTCATTGCATGCGTAGCTGAGGCGGTTCACGAGTACGCTGGGCGTACCCCAAATTACGCGGGGCGTACGCTATTAAGCAAACTTCAAACTTGCGTAACTTTTGCATACGAGCTCCGTTTTCGACGTTCTTTATATCCACGGAAAGGTGAGACTACGCTCTATAACTTTCGTTTAGACTCCATCGGCTAATTTTGAATTTATTTTTATTATTTATTTTTAATAGGCCGGGACAGAAACTTTCGTTATAAATTCATAACTTGTTCGTTTGACGTCCGTTCTCGCCTAACTTTTTATCGCTTTGATACTAACAACGAGATCTTCGATTCTCGTTTAGATCACTAAAGCTAAATATCGCTCTAACGTAAATTTCACTTTTTACGTTAATCAGCGGTGCCGGTTCTGTCGCGAAACTTCGACAGGTCATAACTTCCTCGTTATAACTCGGATTTCGGCATTCTTTATATCTTCGGAAACCTTGTTTCAACTACTACAACATTATCTAAAGATATCAAGTTTATTTTACACTTAAATTTTGATGCTTATTTTTATTCTTAATTAATTAAATCACATAATTAAGCAATTAAGCACAAAACACATAATACTCAAATAATACAATCTTATTATTTCAAAACGGGTTACAAAGGTTAACCTAGACCATTACATTGCTAAAAATGGCAAGCCTGGAAACACAGGCGTTACAGAGTGGTGGATTGAC